TTTAATAATAAATTATAGCTGTTTCTTTGAAGTAATGATTGTTCGTGTGCAGCGTAATGAATTGACTTTTTAAAACATTGCGCCGGGCGTCTTCAGATGCTGTGGAAATTCATCACAGATATTTGAAATATTAAAAGTAAAGCTGCTCTACCATACTTTCAAAAATAAGATTGACAAATCCAGTGCGGATGAGAATAAAGGAAACGGTTATTTAGATATTTTGTACAACAAAAAAACCGGTGCGGAATTTCCTAGAAAAACATGATCTCTATTTATTTATCCTTTACTCTTCGCCACATAGTACAAAATGGTAAATTTTCAAACAACTATTGTACATCAACGTCATGATAATTACGCGTAAAATTCTACCAAAAACAGTCATATTGCAACATGACGTCAGATGCTAGCCTGACCAACAGACTTTGACTCGCATGAGGGTTGAAGCCACATATTAAATAGATATTAACCACATGTTAGGAGACAATATGTTTACATCGATATTTATTGGTAGCATCTGTCTCTGACTTGCATCTCGCAATGATACCCTGTTGCTTAGTTAACAATGCGAGCTTATAATAGTTACGTGGTTTTATTGAATTTCTAACTTTTGTTAAAAAAATTATTTAATATTAGTTTTTTCTTTATCCATCATGTCGAATTGTGAGAAAAGAGAGATAAGTGATAAAACAGAACATTTAATGTAGAATGTTAGATTTTTACTTTACTGCTGAGAAAGATAAGTTTTGTGTTTGTGTGCATTCAGTGTTAAATATCTTAAAAAGCGACTGCAATAAACATTATTTTCACTAAAAGAACATAAATATATCGCTTTAGAAGGTGAATCACAAAAGCTGCACTTTGAAAGTTTAAAAAATGAGACGATTCATTAGCAGGCATCTTTTAGTGCCTGTGTAAATCAAATTCCGATGCAGTTTCTGTTACGTTTAAAATACCACATATACTTGGAACAACCGTGAAGACTATAATTGCAATTAGTTTGAGTTAATTATATTTATATTCAGTTTTGTTTGTCTTTATATTACTTTGTCATATATTCGAAATATGGCTCCTCAACACGGAAACCAAGAAAAACTAATTATGAAACAACACTATGTGTGGTGCAAAAATATAAACAATATTTATTTTTCGATAATAAAACTATATCCAAAAATGATAAACTGAGGGATAAAAATGGCAAACGAAATTAATATAAATAAAAACGCAATTTATTCATATATAAAAAATAATAAGAATTTATTTCGGAAAATGTATCCAGGACATAATACGCTTGAAATTAAATCGCAATCTGCAAGAGATTCTGACAGCAAAGAATCAAATGATATTGATGTGATAGTAAAACTATACAAATAAAAATTAGTGAAAAAGATCTAGTTTCATTTATTAGTAATAAGAAAAGGATCTAAACTTTCTTTAATTTGTGGTGAGTGGCAGAATATGTTGGTTGAAAAATTACGGTGTAATGAAAATATAAATCGTTCTTTCAACTTCAAAAAACATATAATCAATACTTTTATAGAAAACATTGTATTTGAAAGTTCTTGTAATCGATGATTAAAGGAGAGTTCGTAGATATAAAAAAATCTGGAATCAAAATTTTTTGCAACCTAGCATTCAAGTCATTCAAAAGGAAATTGCATGCATTCAAGGATCCCTAGAATATATGCAACTTAGCGAATATAAAAACTCAAAGCTTAATACTGCATTAAATCCATTTGTTGTTTATTACCTTACGAATTTCCAGAAACAATTATATAACAATTATAATAAAAAAACAACCTTTGTTTAATAATCGACGCAACCAGAGGAGTTGTAGAGAAAATAAACCGTTTCAATGGACAACTGACTAAAAATATTTTTTTATATCAATGTGTAGTTATCACCGATAGGGGAACATTTCCAGTAGCTCAAATGTTATCAGAAGCGAATCATACGATAGCCATACAGACGTGGCTAATGGAATTTGTGCGATCTGGAGTTTTCTATTCCGAAGGAAGTTGTCTGTGATCAGTCGCAAGCACTTTTGGCAACTTGCGTGAGGGTATTCGCTAATTACAATACAATTGTAGAATATGCCGACGCATGTCGATTTGCTACAAATTTACCATCATGCTATAAACGTATTGATGTAGCACGATTTATTAAGTTATTATACACAATTTTTTAAAATCCCTTCGTTCATGTATAACCAAATTGTACAAAAAATTGGTTGATATCAAGTGAACATGAAGAGCAAGCTGCCGTGGTTGTTGCAATTATATTGATTATATGCAGAAGCCTAACCGAAGGCTTTAATAAAATTATTGCCAAAACACATTGTGAAATGCAAAATTGCAATTAATTGCAAAATTAAACTGAATCATATTAATAAACCTACAATAATACCCGAATGTTCTAATGTAAAATGTCCACCTTGTACTGCCGGAGACTCACCAAACAATCAATATAGGTAAATGCAATGATAATGCTATTAGAAAAGATTTAAAAAAAAATAATTTAATAAATTTTATATTTATTGCAGCTGTTTTATTTATAGTTAT